CCGTGACTCTCAGATTGCGAGTCAATCACCCTACCCACCTGGCTATGCCGGGCTCGAACTGAAATACTCCTATTTTACTCTGTGTGATATTCTAATATTTATATCTCCTGAAATTGAACCTGATACCTTTCGGAAAACGGGCCCGGCATAGCCAGGTGGGTAGGGTGATTGACTCGCAATCTGAGAGTCACGGGTTCGAATCCCCGTCCCACCAAACACGCACTTTCAGCTGTGGGGGCGTTATAATGTGACAGTTAATCCCACTATTCGTTGGTAAAAGAGTAGCCCAATAGTTGGCGATGGGTGGTGATGACTAGCTACCTTCCCTCTAGTCTTTCACTACTAAATTAGGGACTACTAGCGCAGGTAGCCCTCGTGTAGCTTTGCGAGAAATTCAAAACAAACCAAACACTAGAAAACAAGCAAGCGATCATCTAAAATAAGGAATTGACCCCCTACATTTTACTATACATCCTGATTACCACATTCTTCCCCTCTCACATACAAGGCCCGTGGACATAACAACAAGATCATCGTATGATCCTCTTGTTCTGTGAATTTTTCTGTGGTAATCCAGCCTTTTTTTTTCTTTCCTACCTCCTGAGGTGAAACATAGTAAAAAGTGTTACAGAGTTACTCCCAGTAAAGCATTTTTTAACAGCTCAAGCTACCTGGCTTTCACAACAGTTTTTTAGAGTTTGTAGAGTAGTCAAAATAAAGAAACCTTAACATGTATTTATTCAATGTGTAATAAACACATACTTAGTTTCTGTGTTATAATGTCTATATTCAATGTGGAATAAACATGTTATTAGTTTCTATGTTATAATGTTTTTATTCAATGTAGAATATACACGTTATTCGTTTCTGTGTTTTAATGTCTTTATTCAATGTTTAATAAACATGTCATTACTTTCTGTATTGTAACGTTCTTATTCAACGTGGAATAAACGTCAATAGTTTAGGTGTTGTAATGTCTTTATTCAAAGTGGAAAAAACACGTCATTAGTTTCTGTATTGTACTGTCTTTATTCAAAGTGGAAAAACACGTCATTAGTTTCTGTATTGTAATGTTATTATTCAAAGTGGAAAAACACGTCATTAGTTTCTGTATTGTAATGTTTTTATTTAATGTGTAATAAACACGTCATTAGTTTCTGTACTGTAATGTCTTTATTCAAGTGGAATAAACACGTCATTAGTTTCTGTATTGTAATGTTTTTATTTAATGTGGAATAAACACGTCATTAGTTTCTGTATTGTAATGTTTTTATTTA